AATAAAGTGACCATCACTTCCGACCTTAGTAGTGGCTAACGCCTATAGCGGCAAGTGCCAGCCATTGGGGGGGGTGAGCAAAAATGCTATCCTGTTAAATGTCTGCCTTAGTTAAATAGCAAAAGGTTTTCACATCAAATTCGCATATTTTTAAAATGTAGAATTTTCAGAATATGCTACCATAATTTTAGTCAACATTTTTGGTAATAGGTATATATATATATTAATTCTTTTTCAACTTTTTGGAGTGTCATACACAAAATAATGTTCAACTAAAGAAATCAATAACAAAACATTTAAATTTCGTCACTAACAGCGTGTGCTTATTTGTTTCTAAATATGAAGTGGTGTAAATCGAAAGAAATTATTTATCATACAATAAACAATTAATCATACAATAAAAAAGAAAAATGGTATGCAATGAAAATCTGAACAAATTACTTATAGGTTGATTTTTACAATTTCTTTCATATGTTTTCTACATCAGTAAAAGATGAAGTCCGCTAGTGTAGTGATTTCTCTGCGTGGGAAAGTTATGACCAATTATGCACTCATAAGGGCAACAACAACTCGATTAATAGGTTTACAACCACTCTTGCACCTGGTACCAAAATGTTAACCATTTTACACGGCACGTTTCCATACAGATTGAAAGAAACGTCGTTTTCCTCACACGCTTCCAGTACCTTAACATTTCCGATTCCAAAACCCTTCCGTATTTTCCCGTTCATAGACACGTGACCAGCGAGAGAGTCTAGAAAAGAGGGTACAAGCAGATGGTTTGAAGCAGGAGAAGCATGTGCAATACCACACATTCGAAAGCACGGGATCAATTATAGGAAACACCCCACTATCGCATTAAAAATGTAAGAGAATGAGGGGTAAGGAGCTTCATCTCGTGTTTCCCAATTTAATCTTGTTGCGCAATTCGAATAATTTAATAAATTAATTCTTCTTAGAGTTTTTTAATTTATCATTTATATTTATTATTTATCACAAAAATAAAATCTAAAACAATCTTTTAGAGGATGGGTCGCAAACTAGCTGCAGTGAAAACATTACAGTTACATATTTCTTGTAAATATCGTGTTGTAAAGATTTCAAAATTTAAGTTATTTGAAGTCATAGTTTGCATTATTTTCATTTCCATTAAAAATGGACGTAAATAACTCACCAGAAAAATCATTCAATGAAGGTAATTAATTTGCAGTGTGATATAAATCTTATTCAAGGATCTGAAGCTACAGATTCGATTAAAGGTTTTCTGTGCTTGTCAATAGACAAATACTCTGAGTTACTAATTTTTTTCACAGTGAAATTTAATACCCGAAAGATCTGATTTTCCGTGATGAAGATCATTTCAAGTAATTTCATTCCAGTTCTATGAAATTTATCACGATTGAAACATCATCAAGTGACAAAGAAGAAGTAAAGAAGTTCATAATTATTTAACTACAAAAATAAGACTAAATTGTCATTATTTATTCTCAAGTTTTGCCCCATTTGGTAAATTTTTCCTGAAAACTTACAAACAACGTGTTAGAATTATTTGAAAGAAATGTCAGTCTGAATATAATATTTAGCTCTCAGTATATTTGAATTACAAATGAATTTCAAAAATGCTTCGCATGTACAAAACTTAAGATTTCCCTCAGAAAATAAACAAAAATAATAATTTTTACCCTTTGCGATAATTATTATTATTACTTACTTATGTTTTGATATTCAGTAAGGAAAATTTAAAATACTTTTTATTTTGTTTAAAAATAAATCTGCTTTTTAATCGTGCATGCTATTTAAATTTGAGACTCTTGTTTCAGAGAAATCAAATAAATTGCATCTCTCTGTCTACATTTTTCATGTATATATGAGTGACGAAAACTGTAAATATTGTTTACTCTGTACTATTAAAATCTGTGCGCGTCTGTCTGTTTGTTTGTGGCATTATCTTCTCCCGAACGGCGGGGAGTTGAGTTTCGAGAAAGGTAGCTCCGAATTCCAAAAAATCATGAGAAGCCATTTTGACAATTCTCATCTTCTTACGACTTTAATCAACTGAGATATTAATTAAAAACTCTGAAGACGGTAATTTTCGCTCTCATTTTTTCGGGTGCCGCCGTTGCTCGCTTACAAATCGTAGAGTTTATTAATAAAAAATTTGTAAGTTTTACAAAATATGAAATAAAAATAGCGTTGCCTTACATTAAATATATTTTTGTTATATAAGATTATGTTTTGACGCTGAAGAAAGCACGCGATTTCATGTTATAAGGTATTTCTCCCACCCTCTTAGAATGCCTTCGTGGTGTAGTGGTCAGCATGCTCGACGCGTATTTCAGAGGTCCATGGTTCGAGTCCGAGCGAGGACATTGCTCATTTTTCACGTCTTTTGCTTCGAAATATCCTAATGTCTCTACAATGTGATGTTTTTGTATATCAAAAATGTTTCCGTTAATGCTAGCATTTTAAATGATTAGTTGGTAGCTTTTTTGTTTTAGATTAAGATAATTGACAAGATATGTTAATGCCACGTTGTTTCTTTTATTGATATTGAGAAACAGTTGTTATATTTAAATTTAAATCACAACTTCATACTTATAGGTACTAACCTGAAGTGTCCAAATGTTTTATTTCCTGGTTTGGCAACAAAAATATATTTAAAATTGGTTATTGCTTGGTAAGAATGACCTCATTCGTATTGAAATATTATTATGCCCTTCCTTTTTAGTTGTACACGGAACTCATAAATTTTGCTTTGGTCGCAGCTGGCAAGTTTGTATACAGTACATTAAATTAATAGTTAATTTTATTTTAAGTTTTTCAGTACATGAAACATATTGCTTTAAACGTAGCCCGCTCATCTGGTGGCTTGCCCGCTAGTTAGCAAATACATTTTGTAATGGTGTTTATTCAGGTTCGTACATGTGTATTAACTAGCAAATACCTAGAGCTTGTTCAATCATAATGTATTAACATCAGTTCTTACGCATTTAACTATTGAGAATTTTTGCAAGTGTTTACACGTGAAAAACGCAGCATCTGAAAATGTGCCACCCAGGGCAAATCGCCACCTAAGCCCCTGCTTTGTAGTTAGGGTTTCAATAGTAAATGGTGAAGTTTGTTGGGGTATAAAATATTAATTCATGTTTCTGGGAATCCAAAGGAAACTACCAATTTCTTACAATTTCTTGCTATAAAACTTATTCTCAATTTTATAATACTGAAGCTAAATTAATCTGAACCCTCTAAATTTAGCAAATCGAAAAAGAGGATGTAAAAATTTAAGCTCGATTTGTTTAAGAAACAAAATTGCCCCAAGTGTAAAGGAAATGCGCCTTTGAATTTCGTTTTTGTACATGTGTATTAATATAAAGGAAAACCAAACTTTACAGGTTACACGTTGTTAGCATTTTTCGGATATATAAGTATGTTTAACAGCTTAAAATTAGGCAAAAAAGAAACCCAAGTTTGGTGTGAATTTAAAATAAAACTCCATGGATTTCGAAGGAATCAGGCACAGATTAGTCTCTCCGGAATACGAGAAGCATGTGCAGTGCACAGGATAGGAAACTATACACTATTTCGATTAAAAATATAAAATAATCGGTGGTAAAGCAGTTAAGCCTGTGTTTTCCATTTTAATTTTGTTACGCAAATCAGTTGTTTAAATAAATAAATAAATATATTTGTTGCTCGTTTTCAAATTTTTATATTTATCCTGAATATAAAAGTCCAATTTTTGCTCCTGAAGAAGGAAGATTCTGAAGATTAATAATAAAAGCAAAATTATAACGATTCATGAATGTATCATGACTGTTTCACAATCACGTGAAATAATTAAAAACTCGTATGTGACTGAATAAATCGCGAGTGTAACACTATATTACGTGATCAAATGACGAGACTGTCATGTGACTATGTGACAATTTGCGATGCGATTATTTGACATTTTACGATCAAGAAACTAGTGCGTGACATTACAATGTCAATTACTGTTTCTATATTTACATTAATTACTTAAGCATTTAATTTGTATTACTGATGACTAACACAATATGCTCAATTCCTGATTTCAAAGGTTTGAATGAGGTTATAAAAATTAATATAGAAATGAACTATTAAATTGTTAGTATTTAAATTGCTAATTTATATCATTTTACACTGAGCAATATCTTTTAAAGGATAACAGGCAAAGAGTTAATATAAATTAACTATTATTTTATCCGAAGGGTTATGGTTTAGTAATTTTTAGATTTTGCCAGTATTTAATACTTCTCGTAATAATAAAAACACAATTAATTACTGAATTTATGATTAGCTGATATGCGGTCAGTCTAATATTGTTAAGTTTCCATGTGCAGTTGTTTACTGTAAATCTATTGTTAAGACGCCATTTTTTCCGTATGTAAATTTAAATACCAGTAATTTGAATATCAAAATTATTTCATATATTAGTAAGAAGAATTTTCTAAATAATTGTTGCTTTAAGACAGAGGTACACATTACAGGCTAAATTTAGTATACATAGTTGTATCAATTTTTCTCCTCGGTTTTATTATTTCTTGATTAGAAGCAAAAGTAAAACATTTTACAGTTCCTCATTTCTCAAAAAGCTCTTTGTTAATTTTAAATATCAAGAAGATTCACGAAGACAAAAATTTTTATATCTTTTCCTAAAATATGAACTTTCATCTATCCTGAGTGATGGGAGAATCACATCATCAAAAGTATCTTTGCAATGGTCCAAGAGAAAAACCCTTTATCCCTAAACTTAATCTATTAAAGCTCTGTACTGTTGGATGGCCAATGAAATCTTCTCTTCCGAACCCCTCCTCGGGATACCTCTGGCCAATCGGAGCGCTCACAGGCACTCCGACGCAGGCGCATTTGTCACCTGACTTTTCAATAATCCTCTGCAGTTCCGATTAGGACGGCGTATGATTTGATTGGGTTCCAAGGCATAGATAGCCAATTCTTACTGAATCCCCCGCCACACTCCGCTCTCTGCTTTAACCACAGGAGGGAGAAGTTTAAGGGCAAGGGGGTGCCTCGGATTTACAGAAGACTACCCCCTCCCCCACCCTGTCACCTGCTCACCGTTTCGCTTTCCATGTAATGAGAAAAATGCGCGTGGAGAGAGGAGTGCTACGGGCAAGTTTGCTCAATCTGCCCCGTGCTTTGCTCCAGTCGGCACGTGTGTGAAGTTTTTGCGAGGGTTACACTTCTAATCGGACTTCTTGACGGAACTACAGAACTAGTTTTGCTTGGAGAAGTGACACGCACCGCAGAGGTACAAAGAAGACACGTGATAAGATTAGACTGGGTGTCGAATAATTTTTCTGCAGGAAATTCTTCTAATTTATTTTATTTAGACGATGATATAAATTCTTGAAGGCATTGATGTGTTATATTTAGTATTGTATAGAACGAGAAAGGTATATCTACAAAGTTTTCATAACTATATACGTGACTTTATATCAAATTAATCTCCAAAAAAAAAGAGGTATTTCCAAATCAAAAACCGAGTTTTCTATCACCATAGATTTCCCGTGATAACATTTAGTGCAAGCTTTGGCTTTCTCTTTTCTTAAAGAACGAATTAAAGAAAGCATTTTTCTGTTTGTCGACAAAACTTTAATTTAAACCCCAGTTTAAACACTCTCTAATTCTCAAACTTCGCGGTGTGCTGTCATAAGTGTAAACCTATCTCTGGATCCTTTTTTGCAGTCAAGTCTGAAGACGAGACTTTAGTATTTCATGAAGTAGGATGTTTAATTCCTCATAAATCATATATTTTCCTCTCTCGCGAGTTATTACTGAACATCTATAAACATAGTTTTTCACTTGTGCAAGAGAATGAGCACATTACTCGGAAGGAAAAGTTACGGATTCTGATACTGAACTAAATCTCTACGATTAGAATATTGTAATCAAGTTCATGAAGCTGTATATAGCTTGAAAGAAGAGATTGATGTAAATAGACTTAATCATGCTGGGTCTGAGTCGATCTCCGGGAATGGGTCATGTGTCATCTGAGACAGATAGGGAGGATTCGCCGCCACCTGCTCCTGACGTTACAGCGGTGAGTAGATTTTTAATCACATGATTATACCACCTATTCTGATGCTTAATTTACATCAGGGTTCCTCAAATTATGATCCATATGCAATTATTGGAATGTTATATTATTTTTAGTAGAATCTTTACCCAAAAAATTTAAATGAATATAAAACTGTACATGTATTTGTTATTCTTATTTATATGGTACAAAATTTTAAAATTTGAGAGTCTCTGTTATGGATCATATATATCACGTTTTTATAATGAAACCTGTTTCAAAAATATATATATTTATTTATGTACAACATTTGAAAGCCTATTAAGGTATTGCCTAATAAAAAAATTATTTGAGCTTGTAAGGTTTATCTTAAGTTTTTAATTATCTTTATTTAAAGCTACTTTCTTATCTCTCCTAATTTCAGCTTACAATTTCCCACCAGAATGTGTTTTTAGAATCGCGGTTAATGCAAATGAGGAAGAGCGATTTTAAGTCGAAGTTCCACTAACTTCGTTAGAGGGGCAGAGAATCTTACTAACGGCGCATTTGACAATTGGCTATACTCTCTCTAAGCTGTTACTAAGCTCGGCCGTATTTCAGCCCTTGATAGCTTCGCCAGTTTAGTTTATATTTAGGGGCCAACTCTTTAGAATTTTGGTAGTTTTCGGCTGTATCTTTTTAGTCAAGCATTACTTAAATTTGATTTCTTAGTACTCTTGAATTCAAGCGCAAGTGGGGGCTTCTCTGTACGCTCTAAGAAGTGAGCCGACTGTGAAATTCTTATTTTGAGAAATAAAGGTTAGTTAACCCTTCCTGAGTTTACGCCTCTGTTACTGAACTAAAGCGTTACCAGTTCGAAAGGTTCCTGCACACTTAGTAGAGGAAAGGTTGGAACCTCACAAGCTTATTAAGTTATTAAAACAAGCTCTTAGTTATTTTTAATTTTGGAATTTTTCCCCCTTCTTTCATATGCTCGAAAATGATGAAAAAGTAAAATTAATATAAAAACTGAGAACACTGAAAAAAGTATCTAAAAACGAGCATCAAACACGATTGAAAAATTTCTGACAATTCCTTACAGTTGATAAATGATTTGGTAGAAACTGCAATATTCATTTCAATAACTTTTAAAAAGTTATTTAATCTCTCTCTCTATATATATATGTATATATCCATATATATCTTTAGTGAGAATAGAATTTGTATTCTCAGTGCTCTTTTGATTGAATTTTAATAAAGCATTATATGTTATTTCTTTGATGTTTTATATGTTTTTCTTCGAAATAGAAAAGTTCTAACTGAATTTTTCGATTTAAAAACACTCGAAAGAACGTTTCTGAATAGAATCTATGTTTAAAAGACCATTAAGTAGGAGACCATATGAATCTCACTTATATGTCTGCATACGTCTTTCGTATAGTCACTTATTGTTTTACTCAAATTTATTTAAAATTATAAATATGATTATGTATTAATTCCGCGTGTGGTTTATTTCTATGCGCAATTAAATAATTGCTTATTGTTTGAAAACGCTAACTGTTAAGAATCCTCCGGAAACGTCACGAACATTGTGGTATGTTGATTACATTTGTATTAAACAGTCTGAAACAGTATAAAGTTACATATTTCGGGCAATTTTTAAAAGAAAAAAATATTCATAAACGGAACTGTCAGTCCGCTATTAATTGAGCAGAACAGAATACTAGAAATGTTTTTCTTAAACATTCTGAAATAAATAATATCACCTTTGTAATAACTTTTGTAGCTTTTTTCCCTTCTGTTAGAATTACACATGCATGTTCAAATGTTTTGTTTAAAATATGAGACCAAACACTTATAATACTGTATTAGCATTTGAAATGTAGGAAAACGTTAATCTCATGGAATGTAGATGAAACGTTTTCAAACTTTTTAATGACCTTGACGTAGTTTCTTAACAAAATATCTTGACTCTTCGTAACAGTTACTTTAACTGTACTCCATTCATATTTAAAATCATATTAAGTAGGCTAATAGAATCATAGGTTGTATGAAACGTTGTGTTAAAGTGAAGAAGAATTTGTACAGATCTACTAAATATTTGGAATAAAAATTTAGTAAATCTGAAGAAATGCTATAAAAGTAAGACAGTAAAATTTGGATTTCTTAATTATCATTGTTTCTCTTCTTACTCATGGTTTTATAATCTGCATGTAAATGCCATATGTTCTTCAAAACCTATTTTTTCGGATAATTGATTTATTGTTTCTAATTAAATGTTTAATCTTAAGCTAATAGTTGGAACATAACAATATTGTTATGTTCCAACAAGGTTCTGTACTGTAATCATATCACGTCTCTGATTGTAACTCCTGACTTTATATTCTGCATGGAAAATAAGTATACGCGAAATTTAATCGTTGACGTAAAATACTTTTTCCTGTCCAGCTCTGAAATAAATATTTCTTTACTAAATTATCATTTCTTTTATATTTTATTAAACGTATATAAAACGTGACTGTACCTGTAATTAATCTGTAATAACTGTATAAACTATAAATTATTCTGGACCTTAAAATTACAGCCGTAGATTTCGGGGAAAACTCATGCTTCAGATTATGTGCTTAGCGTGTCGGCTTTGAGCTAATATTTAATAGTGGTGGATAGTAAAAGATGAAATTTTTATAGACAATCAATTTTGGGTCTTCATATTTTGTTCTTTAAATCTTGTCATAAAAGTTCGAAACAGTAAATGAAATTTATTATCGAAAATGACATATACTGTGCAAATTTTCTCACCAGAATTTAGAAATCAGTAATACTTTGATTGAAAAGATTGATATTGATTTTGATTTCCGTTTAATTCGAAAAGGGAAAGCTTGTCATGAATATGAAATTTAATAGGCAGATAATCATTACGAATTCGTAATGTACTGTCTGGCAAGAATGTAAGTTCGGTTTGCACAAATAGAGTTATTGTTTGTTTTGTTATTCTTCTCTAAATCTTTTTTTTTTTTTTTTTTTTTTTTTTTTTTTTGAGATTTAGCAGCTGACACTTTTTAGGTTGCTACAGAAACAAATTTCGTGTATTTTTGTTAGTTTGCCGTCAATTTCAACAAGGGGTAGAAAAAAAAACATTTTCGATATATTTTACTTTTTTATTTTAATAAAGGCAGCAAAGCGGCTGAGGTTCACAAAGAGATATGTGAAGTTTATCGTGTTGATTTGCTTAACGGAAAGAATGTGCAAAATCTGTTTAAAAAATTTCGTTCTGGAGATTTTTCACTTAAGATGATCAACATTCTGGCCTGCCTTCTGAAGTTGCTGTTAATTAGAAATTAAAGCTATACCTGAATAGAATATTACTGAATATTACTGAGCAAGAGATTGCAAAAAGATTAAATGTAATAATAGAAAATCATATAAGAGATCTAGAACTCATGAAGAAGCTCGACATTTGAGTTGCACATGAATTGAAAGAAATTCAATTAACACAACGAATCAATATTTGCAATACACATCGCAAACGTAAATGCAGTCTACTCTTTTTTAAAACGAATTATTATTAGAGATGAAAAATGGATCGTATACAATAGCATTAATCGAAAAATCTCATGATCTAAGCATAATGAGTCTGCACAAATCTTATCGAAACCTAAATTGCATCAGAAAAAATTCAAGCTGTCAGTATAGTGGGACTACAAAGGCGTTGTGTATTTTGAGCTGCTTCCAAGAAACCAAACGATTAGCTCAATTGTTTCATGCCAAAAAACACGGAATTGAGGAATCAATCGACGAGAAAAGGTCAGAATTGGCAAATCGCAAAGGAATTGTGTTCCACCACGGCAATGCTAGGGCTTGTACATCTTTAGTAACATTTACGAAATTATCGGTGATTGCTTGATTGGGAAGTGATGTCATTTCTCCCATATAGTCCCGGCCGTTCACCATCGGATTATCATTTATTTCTAAGTTTACAGAACTTCTTAAATGCTAAAAATTTCAGTAATAACGATGACTTCAAATCGCACACTTGGTTGAGAGTTCTTGGCTGATAAAAACCAGAAATTCTGAGATCGCCGAATTTTGAAGTAACGAGAAAGACGACAAAAGGTAAAGCCGAAATTACTTTCTTGCCAACCCCATACGATAGCTAACTGATGTCAAGGACGGAAAAAGTAAACACTTTTGAATGTTACAAGACTAAATTGCAATAAATTATTTTAAAATAAATTGGATCCCTTTCACCCTTTGGTGCGAACTGAAATGTTCTATATGTGATATATTATATATATAATATGTATTATGAGTTATCTTGTTAAAATCAAACATTCAATAACATTACATGTATTAACGTTATAAGCGTCAATAAATATTTACAGAAAATTACAACTTACCGACTCTATTAACCTTGGAGGTAGGAAGTGCTTTCCTTACCTCTATGGTATTAAGAGTTCTTTGGCACAGGTGGTATCTCAACAAAAGCGTAGGATTAATTATGCTCGCAAAATACTTTATTTTTAGAAAATAGGATATATTTTTAGATACTTACAAATATAGGGTCGTACTCTTTTTGGCAACACAAACCGTACTAAGGAAACTGTCGACTTCACGCACAGACATAAATGATAACAACACAGAAGAAGGGTAAAAATAACCCTTTATTATTATCAGACTTCGTGCTTCAAAATAACACCGACAACTTTCGGTAGAAACTAACAATTTCTAACACAATAAATCCCAGTGTAAAAAGAACAGTGCTGTACTAGCACTTTAAGGGCTAACTAGATTGACTCAACAACCTATCCGGCGTGATAATTTATTTAAATGGCCAAAAAGGCGTATCAGCAACTCCTAGTAAAAGCAAGCGCAGATTCATAACGAGCGCAAGCTAGCAAAAACACGCTGTGAATAAACTACAAGATTCGTCTGTTTAAATATCGTTTTCACCTAAATTCAAATTTGAACATTGGCGAGGAAATGCCAGGGAAAGTTGAGAAGTTCAGAAAAGATAATAAAAACTTGAATAATTGTTTAATTGAACT